TGGCCCAGAACCCCTTATACAATATCACAATTACTTCCTCCGTTCCCTTTTAATTGCAACAGTCAACATTTCACGTTTGCCAACGTACAAGTTTGACCATTAATATCTTTCGTTCCTTATTAGTAAAAAATTTAAAAAATTCATATTTTGAAAATTTAGAATGAGAAGAATTTAATAATATTTTTAAAAAAATTAATTTATAATACATTAATGAATAAAATATAGTCAAAGTAGAATATGTGAATAGTGCAAAAAGTCCAATGTTGCGATTAAAAGAGAACGGAGGATAGTATTTAATATAATTCTATTATATATTACTCCGTACTATACTAATCTGTCATGTTCCTATCAATGTATTCGTCTCATCGGATCCATTGGGTAACATTTTGAGCATTCGTTCCACAATCATTAGATGTATTGAGGAACGTGCTCAAAAAGTTTCATCAAAAAATTCCACCGGGAAGACCCTCTGATGGGCTTGTCCGCACGGGGCTTCTCTTCAGGAGCTCCTAATAGGAACGGGACTCTAGATGTATTTATGTCAAATTTGCATAAGAAGTGGTCTTGAATCCAAAAAAGGTGTTCACTTAGACACACTCATTCACCACTATAAGTAATACAATACCTAATTACGACTTCATTGACTTGAGCTTCTTCGTAAAAGCTCAATCATATAGGAGGAGCCAAGGAGTAACCCACAACCTTATACTCCATATGTTGTATTTTATGTATGTTCAACAAGTGGGGCAGAATAAAAAATGATCCTATACGGCGGTACCATTTCATGTGTTTTCTGCTTTTGTTTACATCGTAAGAGTTTTATGTTGGGTAGTCATTCTTAATCAAACACGCAAAATGAGGATTTCGCCTTACATATGCTCATTCTTTCTATTTGAGCAGCAATCATTTCAAAGTTTGGTGCTGGACTATTTCTTGTAATTCAAGTAATACTTTTATTGGATGCCACACTCTCATGGAATGATGCATGGGTAGCCAAAGATGAGCGGAAGTGGTCAGTTAGTTTGAGTTTTATCTTCATTTTATTAATAATCATATCACTATGTTATTAATCAATAATATTGTACAATGCAAGATATTTCCACAGGTATATCGCTTTACTAGTTGTATCTGTTGCTTGCTACCTAGCAACATATGCCTTTTCAGCCATACTATTTATTTGGTTCAATCCTTCCGGGAATGACTGTGGATTGAATGTATTCTTCATAGTTATGACCATGATTCTTGCGTTTGTGTTTGCTGTCATTGCCCTGCACCCAAGGGTAAGAAACGCTTTTGTTTTAGCTACGTTTCCTTCGTGACCAACCACCTTTAAAAACTTGAGTACCCTTCGTTTAAAAACTTGGATACCCTTCATATGTGTATTTATTCCTTCATATAGTTAAGTGAACAAAATGGGAGTAAGATTAAGGTTATTTGTGTTCTATTTGTTCGTAAGTTTGATCTCAATGCAGATGTGTTTTACTGCACTTTTCATACTTACTGTCAATCTATTTCTCTTGTTATTTTGACTTTAAAATTGTGATGATCAGGTAAATGGAAGCCTGTTGCCTGCCTCCGTGATATCTATATACTGTGCTTATCTGTGCTACACTGGTCTTTCTAGTGAACCTAGAGATTATGTGTGCAATGGCCTCCCAAACAAATCAAAAGCAGTTACCATTAGTACTCTTATTCTTGGGATGCTTACAACTGTTCTCTCAGTTCTGTATTCTGCACTTCGTGCTGGCTCTTCAACTGCTTTTCTCTCACCACCATCTTCTCCCAAAACAGGCATGAAATTTCACCTATTCCCCATTTATTGAATTATTTTGTTTGTGGGATCCCTAGGCGTTAGAGTATGGGTGTGTTTTTCATTGCTTTTTGGAACCACATTTGTGTTCCTTTTGATTTAAAAGAAAGCTAAAATTAATCTTTAAGTAGGTGATTTTGATTAACCTCAAGGTTCAAGCACAAGCAAGGAGAATGTTTCCTTAAAAGCTTTTCAATGTTTTTTTCCTAGTATGTTACTGAAATAATATGCCAAAATCAACTTTTTACCACACACTCATAGTTCTATCTTTAGAAAGCACTTGTTCAAACACTACCAGCTTCAATATTAAACATTTTCTGTATAATCAGTAAAGTAAATCAATTTAAAAGCATAACCAAATGCCAATTAATGTGTCTTAGTCTCTAACGCTACATCACATGTAGCCAAACTTGGTAATTTTTATTTGGCTTAAATATGTTTTTCTTCTATGCAATTATATGTGTTGGGGTAGTTTGTTTAGTTGAATGTGAAGATAAATTGCCATTCGTCTTTGAAATTTACAACTCCCCCTCCATCAATCTCCTTAATAAAGATTAAGGTGGCTCAAAGAAATCCATCCTCAGCTTTTCATATAGTAATTTCGGTAGATTTATCAAGGATCCAACCTGAGAAACTTCCTCTTGGAGTAGTGTTTTTTGCCTTGGTCCTTGTAAAGTTCATATTTATGTCTTCCTAAAATTGCTTGGAAAGCCCATGCTGGAAGGTATTCTGTGAACCTTGTCAATTTTTTAACACATGTGAATTGAGATGGAAAATGTTATCAATTAAAGGAATATATAACAAACAAATCACAGGGACCTAGAAGTAAAATTATATTTCGAAGGACGGAAAGTATAGTTCAGCCTTTTATTTTTCAATATTGCAGTGATTTAATGGATATTTAGTCTAAATTTCGTGGTTATTACTACTGTAGATAAGAGACCTCTTCTTGGAACTGAGGAAGATATGGAGTCTGGTGGTAAAGGTAAAAGAGGAGAAACAGAAGCACGGCCAGTGAGTTACTCATATTCATTCTTCCATCTAATATTCACACTGGCCAGCATGTATTCCGCCATGCTTCTGTCCGGGTGGACAAGCAGTTCAGAGAGCTCTCAACTTATAGACGTGGGTTGGACCTCGGTTTGGGTTCGTATATGCACCCAGTGGGTCACTGCTGCTCTATACATTTGGTCACTCACCGCTCCTCTCATCTTCCCTGATCGTGAATTCTACTGATTCTGGTTCAGTTCATGTGTTAGATGGATTCACAGTATAGACTATCAGTCCATCTCTCCTGTTAATATGTGTGGATGTTCATAATGATTTTTCTGGGACAAATTTAGTAGCTAAACAGGGTGGTCTTTCACTGCGTTTTATCATTTCTGTAGTTTGTGGGGGAAACTGCTCATATCAAATATCGCGAGTTTGTGACAGATGATATATGCGTAACTTGTAATAAGTGGTTGCTTGACAAATGATCTTATGATCTGATTCGTAGCAGTTTATCAGGATTTCAATAAAAAGCTGGGGAGATCTACCTGGACCAAACATGATTTTTTCTCCAAAGTAGGACTATCTTGTTTAAACATCCTTAAATAGGACTTTTTATTAGTGATTGGACCAAATTACCCCTCACATCCTTTATCACTGCTGCCCAGGGACTGCCGGACCGTTGCCTGCCGCCGGACCCCCTCACATCCTTTATCACTGCTGCCCAGGGACTGCCGGACCGTTGCCTGCCGCCGGACCTCCGGCCACTGCTGCCTGTGCCCTATATGTGGATAGTGGATACCCCGCTGGATTGAAAAATATATTTTGTTTTTATTTTAGTTGATATTACTTTTATTCTGATTTAAGTTTCTCATTGAAAAATGACATGATCATTGAAATAGTTTTAATGTGTATGTAACATTATTTTAAACATTCAATGACTAATTTGTCCTCTAATGGTGCTAAATAATTCTGAAAGTAGAAATTAGAAGCTTTAACTAGAATGTTTAAAAGAGACAAGTGAGAAAGTAGAAATTAGAAACTTTAACTAGAATGTTTAAAAGAGAAGTGAGAAAGTTAAGTCAGGACGGAGTCACGGAGGGGTGGTATTTAACCTGCTATCAAAGAAATGTCTTTGAATATTACTAGGGTAAAACATATGGATAAAAATGTTATAGTATAGAATTCAACATAATCATAATTTCTAAATTACGATGTTGTATTACATTATAGTTACACAAGTATAAGAACTCGAAATTTTGTGCACTACCTTCATTTGAAATTATTTTTTTGCACAAAGAAGGTTTAATTATCATTAATCATATCATGATGGAGTACATGAGTAATAAAATCAAGCGGATTAAAATACCAAACACATCGATCAGACATAGAGCACGCTGCCCTAGCTAAAGTATGAGCAACCGTGTTCGCATAACGCTTCACATGAGAGAAGGTAATACTAGAAAAATGCCTACTAGGAATGTTTTGAAATTATATATTCTTGTTTTGAAAAAATCGTACCCATTCTGAATTATTAATCACCAAGTCACTAGGGATGTTTTTAGTTGGACTGTTTTCAGTCCCAGACCAGACTTAAACAGACGAGACCAGATTAGACTTAAGTAGACCAGACTTAATACATCTGTACTTGGTCATAATCGCATTGTCGCAATGTGGAAGACTGAACGATTGGGTTCGGAAGGTGAGGAGCAATGGCACTCAACAACGGTTAACTTGAATCATTAATTACTTGAATAGCATTGATAGCTTTGCCTAATGATGTAATTAAGGGCTGCAATTAGCTCCTCTTTGTATAAGTAGACCCCAAATAGTTTTTTTATTAATAGTTTTTTTCTTCTTCAATTTTTTCTAAATAAATGCCTATAAGAAATATCAAAATCCTTTTATTACATTTGCCTTCTTATTTACTTATTTACATTTCGTCAATTTTAATCTACTTGAAAACTAAGAGCATCTCCAATGCTAAAACATTAACGGTGCATACATGGCATGAGAAATAACCAATTAAAAAATAATAAATACAATATTTCTCTCCTTCTTTCCACGGTCTTATGTGTTTATGGTAAGTTTTTGTCTGCAATTTCAATCACAATGTCTACATCTAGACATTGTGCTTGACATTGTGAAGAAAAACTTACCAAAATGATGTAAGATCTTTCAAATAAGGAGAGATATATTGTATTTTTTGTTTTTTAATTGGTTATTTTCCATGCCACTATGCACCGTTAACGTTTTAGCATTGGAGATGCTCTAAGAGTAGCGCCCTTTGTATGGATTCGAAAGAAAATCTAGGGTGATTCTACTTGTAATCCTTCATTTACTAATCACAGTTACAATATTAAATTTAGATAGATATAGATATACTCCTATCTTTTTAATACTTATTTTAGTTCTCCTGTTAAATCGAACCCATTGATACAGAAAGCCTGTGTACAGCCATTAGTTCGGCCTCATATGCGCCCCCGGCCCGAAGCCACAAGGGAGCTGAAGATGAAGAGGTGTAAGATCAATACATCTTCCAAGGACCAAAGAATGGATGGAGCTTCCTTGGAATTATTGATGGTGCATCAAATGAATTAAAAGTGAGTCTTCCTTTTTCATGGGCTCTAGGTTGAGCTCTCGGACTTTACTTCGGGCCGGCCCAGCAAATTGCATTTACGCTTGCACAACCAAATAATGAGTAGACTCAATAGAACAACTGTTGGAAGCACAAAGACAAGTAAAAAACGTTTCAGGTTAAATTTGGTTTTCCTGACAGTATATGTCTGTGATGAAGAATGATCCACTGAACCAATAAGCGATGGCTGCTGCTGGGAATTGAGATTCACAGAAACCAAAGAGGAAGTAGTCATTTGATGATGATTCATGGGGGGTCCACTGAGCAAAGAATTATTGGCAAATGAAGAAGCAGGAAAATGTGTGAACAGAGATGAGGGGATGGAGCCATTGAAGCGGTTGTTGCTCAGATTCAAGTGCTTCAGATTTGGGAGGTTTCCGACGGTGAGGTCCGCCGGTATAGCTCCGGTGAGGCGGTTGTCCTCCAGGCGCAGTGTTTCCAGAGCGTCCAGTCTCCCGATTGTTTTCTCCGGTATAGTGCCCTGAATTCCGAAACCACCGAGATTCACTCCGACTACCCGCCGCCGGCTTCCATCTAAACGGCTGCCGCTGCAATTCACGCCGACCCAAGACGTGCAAATTGGGGCCTTCATGCTCCAACCCGTCATCACTTTCCGGCTGCTTCCTGCTCCCGGAACAGCATCCATGTTCTTTGCAAACTGAACCAGGGCTTTTTTATCCGCTTCCAGATCAGAGGATGGAATCACTCCTTGGAGAAGATGAAAGAAGAAGACGACCATGATGATAAGGGGTAGGAGCACATTATTAGTACTACTTTTCATCATTTTTGTTTTGTTATTCTCTGCTTGCCCGCCCGCCCAGTCCTGTTTTGAGCAGATAATTCCCCCAATAGAATTAACAGAAGAAAGTTTTAATGACTCATTCAGATGAAATTAATGTTGATTTTCAAAGGGAAAGTTCCCGAAATAGGACTAAAAAAGTTTGAAAATTTCAAAATAGGACTGTCATGTTTTTATACCCAAAATAGGACTAATTACTGTCAAGTTTGGAAAATACTGCCATGTTTGAAGTCTGGTACTGCCAAAACATGACAGTAATTAGTCCTAGTTTGGAAATAAAAACATGGAAGTCCTATTTTGGAATTTTCAAACTTTTTTAGTCCTATTTCGGGTAATATCTCATTTTCAAAATATATTCATTCTTATTTTAGAAAGTTTCTTTTTTAATTTTTAAGCTCAATTAATTGGCTCAAGGTTTAATTTTTAAAATAATATAAAGTGGCATGCCTCTCTTAATTCTTTTCGGATCTCTAAGTTTTATAATCCTTTTAATTACAAAATTACCAAGTTATGTTAGGCCTCCAAAGTCCAAAACTCCCAATTCACAAAGCCCATCCAAATTGATTTGTTGTTTCCAAATTCCAATATCAACCAAAGTAATTTAAAGAACGCTAAAAAGCGGTGAGTGCCTCAACGGTTTGTTAAGAATTGAAGTCAATCAATCGAGGAGCCCAAATAGTGGTCGGTGACCAAAAAACTTCTTCTTTCAAGATTTCAAACAATCCAACCGTGATCAATAAATTATTCTTGATAAAAATGGAAATCAGGTTGGGATAGAGAGTGAAAGAGATGAAGATTAGAAAAGATAGGGTTAAGTTAACAGGGATCAATGGAAAATTTTGTTTTTGTTAAGAAATTGAATCTTGAAAATTCCGTGAGAAATGTTTTTAAGTAATGTTTTTCTTTTTATGTGATACTTGTGTTGTTAAGTTTCACCATATATGTAATTTAAATAATAATAATATTATTATTATTAAAATGAGTTTTGTTTTTATTTAATGACCTTTATTAGATAATTTTATTATAATTATTATTTTAAATAAATATAGTTTATTATTTGTCTTGAATATAAGCTCAAAATATTATCCCGCCCATAGGCCCGAAAACACACAGGACCCGGCCCTGTTGTCATAGAACAATTTATAAAACTATTATGGTTAATGTTAGACTACGGATGTTTTCTTTTGGAGTGTTTTCAGTCCCAGACCAGATCAGACCAGACCAAACAAAACCACACCAGACTTCCGTAGTTATAAAATACGGAGTACACAGAGACCAGACATTTACCAGACTAGACCAGACCAGACCAGACCAGACCAGCAAATTTCAGTCGAAAAGAAAACGTCCTACCTCCATCTAAAACAAAGGTAGTAATAGATATTGTTCCTCTATACTTCTTCCGTTCTTTTTTCGTTGCAACATTCCAATTTTCATGCTTGCAACAGCATAACTTTGATCGTCACTATATTTAATTTTCTATTACTAAACATATTTGACAATCAGATAAAGAAAATTTGTAATGAGACAAATTCAACAATATTTTAAAAAAAAAATAACTTTCATCCATTATTAAATAAAATATACTCAAAGTATAGCATTTGAACAATGTAAAATTTTCATGTAGCAACTAAAAAGAATCAGAGGATAGTATATGATCCCTTGCTAACAAAGAAGAATGAAAAATAGAACATCATGAAGAAGGTTTTCATAATTTAATTAGAGGATATATAGTAACAGAACTTTGCTATATGTGATAAATAAATAGCGTTTGAATTGATCCTAAATAAGAGCAAAAGTAAAAGGGCTTACAAAGGTTGTGGTAACTTGGCTATAATGAGTAAAAAGCAGAGCAAGTTAATTGAGAGGAATGTACAAGAGAACTAGACCATATATAGAGTGCATCATACCGTCTCTTAGGAATCGTATTATATACTCTGTTTTAAATAAACTTCAAAGTTTTACTTTACGATTTTAAGAAATTGTTTTTTTTTTGTTTTTCAATTTCCCATCATACCCTTACAAATACTATCGTAGGAGATAAAGTATAGTCGGAAAGAGAAAATGAGACTAAAGTAGGTAATAAAGTAGGGATGTAAGGATAACTTTATATTAAAAACTTGCCAAAAATAGAAGTGATGTGAAGTTTATTTTTGACCTATCCAAAAAGGAAAGTGTGAAGTTTATTTAGGAGTGTATGAACTATATATATATATATATATATATATATATATATATATATATATATATATATATATATATCAATGTATTTGGAAATAATAATTAATAATATTCCCAATTGTGAATAGGATGAGAAATACAATATATATAATGAAAAGCACCATATTTAAATACGATAGTATACTGGGTACATGCAGCAGCCATTTTTCTAATACAACATTGCTTCTATTATACCCTACTTATAATTGATGACGCATTCCGTTACATAATTGCCAAACATGCAATTGCATGACTTAAACTATCATTGAAAGTGACTGTACGTGTGCAAGGAAGGAATTTAAGGATGAACCTTTTCTTGCCATTTTTTACTTTGAAAAAAAGACGGCACTTGTAAAATAGGGCCATTTAGAACAATATTGAGGTCCTAGACTAGTATATAAAGTGCTTGGATCTGGTTGAAATGCATAATGATACCTTGTTGCATTTTGGTACATTAACTCGATCTTGAATGAATCAAAATAGTATTTTAACAATACACCAATGTTTCAACTTGTAATATTATTCAAATTTCCGATCAAAAAATCACACGGCCGGTGGGAATCTATGTGTAACGTCTACTTCACCTTTTTATCCATATGATCACTATAGGGTGACTCTACAAATGGAATTAATTTGATGGTCATGAAAGATTTTTTGGCCGCAAGTTTGAGTAAAATCCCATGTTGAAACACTTATGTATAGTTATGGTACTGATTTGATTCATTTAAGAGTTAAGGTACCAAAACGCAAAAATATCAATAGTTAAGGTAACATTTATGCATTTGACCCGTTTGGATCTACTTCTTAAAACTATCGTTGATCTTTCAAGGAGCAAAAATAGATACTGGAATGTTTTGGTGAAAGTCCAGAAGTACTTCTATGTGTTTCAAATTGCTCCTAGAAGCAATTTTTTAGAAACTGATGGAAACCAACTTCTAAGAATCTGATTTTGATTCTACTTTTGAAACAGCAAGAAAAGAAAAACAAATCCAAACTATGTAATGCTCAATATAAAATTTTGAGATGTCATTTCAATACATTTTCTTTAAAAAAAAGAATATAAAATAAATAGTATAACATGAAATAAAGACAAGTAAAATACATACGAGATGCGGCAAATATAAAAGTTTAGTTTTCTCAACGTAAATAATCCAAAATCAACCAAAAATATAATATAGAGTTTCTAATAAGTGTACTCTTCTTTGGTGCGACGCTTCTTTATTTTGTTTCCTGTTGCGATGCCGGAGCATATGCTTGTGCCGATTTTGTGAGATCTGCTTTTTTTTCTCTAGGGCGTTCCATCGCCGCTAGAGCCCTTTCCTCCACTATCGGTTTCAATCAAGGAGCGGTTAATTCGAAGTGACGATTGCCGAGGGTTCATGTGAAGGACAAGGGTTTGCTAAGAGAATTGTCTTATCCCATCAGGTTCTATATTTCGGCTGCGCGAGTTTGTTCCATATATGCGAGACAGCGAAGGGGCGAGTGGCAGGAGACTTAGCACGAGAGAGATGAAGGAAGCTTGGCACTCAGTTGGCAGGATACGGTCTTGGCCTTGGATGCTATCTTGGCAAAAGACTTGATGGGCGTTTCAATGAGGTGGGACAGATGAAGGTTGCTCGGCAGGAAACCAATCGTGCGGTGGATGTGAGCAGAGCCTTCTGCGCTAGGGTTTGGAGTCGTGTCTTGATTGTGTCAACAATCATAGCGATGGTCCGGCCTCCTCCTGAACCACCGCCAGAGTTTGAGCGAGGTGCTAGGGTTCAAAAATTTTATTTTTTCATTGTGTTGGTTTTTTTGGTGTTGAGCACTATGTTTATTTTAATTTCTTTATTATTTTGTATTATAAGACTGTGAGATTGGATTTGGGTGATAGGAAGTTTGCGTCCATTAATGGATCAACGAGTTATATTGCTTCTATTGAGGTATTAACTCTGAGTCTAATTGACAGCGGTCTTTTTTGTCTATTTAGCCCATGTCTGAATATTGTGATATCAATATAAGCCACCTTTCATAATAAAAAAAAGTGTACTCTTCTTGTTTTTTGAAGAGAAAAAGTTGTAAGAACACACTTCCTCTATTTTTAAAGTTAATTGCCTATTCATGGGCTTTTATTTCTTAGAAAAGTGTAAAATCGTATGCTTCTTTTGTATAGGAAATTATAACTATGTCGATTAAAATATCTGTAGTATATCGTTCATCTGTGACAAAAAAAAAAACAAGTTTATTTAAGCTAAGATCGATATTTTTGAATCAAAAACTAAGTTGATTTAAATAATGGAAAATTCTACCGTGCCTTTCTTAATTTATAAGGTACCGGTACCAAACTTTTTAAACTAATCAACTTAATGTATCATGCCATCTCACCATCCTCGCTGTATTAGACTGTGATTCTATTATTTGCACTTTAGTCCTGAAACAATACACACGACTTGGCCGGAAGTTTCCCGGAAGAATTTTTCATCCCGGTGAAAGAAAATTGGAGAATTGAGATGAGAGGGGGAAAATACCACTGGTATAAAATAACAAAAGATTGAAAATTGAAATAAGTTTTCCGATCAATTTAAAGCCTGAAAAAATACGAAGACACATGGGTGGTGGTCGGCCGGTTCTAAGAAACAAAGTTCTCAAACTAAAAAAACACAAGAAAAAATGTAACACCGTCCTCAAATATATTTACTTTTATGTAAATAATGTATCGAACATTATTAAAGAATTAATGAATTTACGAAGTTGTAAATTTTTATTATTTCTTTCGCGTGAATAGTAAATTGCACGTGGGACCCACACCGGGAGCGGGGGCCGCCCGATATTCCCGAGATCACATAAATTATTCTTATGGGTCGGGATAATATTTTTATTGTATGGATATCTTATTTAGGCCATGGGAAGGCCTGGGGTTGACCGATTGGTCAAAAGAAGCCCAATTACCGGTACCGACAATTTAACAGATAGCAGCCAAGAAATGAATTCCGGAGACTTCCAAATTAAA